TTGTAAACAACACATTGCAGGATTCTGGTTTTTAATCCACTCTGCTAACTGCTTCTGTTTTATGGGAGAGTTCATACCATTCACATTCACAGTTATGATTACTAACTCTGTATTTCCCTCCATCCTATTTTTCACTTGTTTATTCTTCTCTCTCTCTCTCTCTCTCTCTCTCTCTCTTTCTCTCTCTCCTTTCACTTCATCCCTCTTCACCAGTGTTTGCTTCTGAATACCACCTCCCTTAATCTGATCTCCCTTCTATAAGTCCCTCCATTTTTCTCTTCTCCTTCCCCTCCTACTTCCCTATGGGATAAGATAGATTTCTATACCGAATTGTTATTATGTATATTATTCCCTCTTTTAGTCTAATCTGATGAGAGCAAGATTCAAACAATGCTCACCCTCTCCCTTCTTTTCCTCTACTGTGATAGGTCTTTCATACCTCTCCATGTGATATAATTTACCCAGTTCTGCCTCCTCCTTCCCATTTCTCCCAACACAATCCTTTTTTCAGCCCTTAATTTTTTATATCATCAAAGTCAACTTATACCCACATCCTCTATGTATACTCCTTCTAACTGCCCTAATAATGATACAGTTCTTAAGAGTTACAAGTATCATCTTCCTACAGTAGGGATGTAAACAGTTTAACCTCACTGAATAACAAGTTTTTTCTTTTCTGTTTACCTTTTTATGCTTCTCTTGAATCTTGTATTTGAAAACTGAATTTTCTGTTCAGCTCTGGTCTTTTCATCAGGAAAGTTTGAAAATCTCCTATTTCATAGAATGCCCATTTCCCCCTCTGAAAGATTACGCTCAATTTTGCTAGGTAGTTTTAAAAAAATTTTTCTCATTAATTTTAATCTTAAATACAAAACAAAAAGAAAAAAAGAACATTTCCATATACACAGCAGAACATGAGAGGATTCAATATAAAACAATAAATTTCCATTTCACAAAAACCTATGTAATAAATCCTACACATTTGTTTTCAAAACAACCCAGCATTTCTGGTTTTCCTTCTAGGTTTTCTTTTGTTCTCTGCCATGTACTTTTTATTTTATTTTTTCCCTCCCTTCCCCACTCCCGGCCTAGAGAAAGCTACAATTAAATGCAAATATACATACACATATACATACATATCCAGAAACATGCACACATATATACATATACATACAAACATATATGTAAGACCATATGCATATTTGTATTTGTCAGTTCTTTCTCTGGAGTGGAAAGTACCTTCCTTCATAGGTCCAAGTCTTTCTTGTTTTTCTAAATCAACCAGCTCATCATTTCTTACATCACAGCAGTATTCCATCACAATCATATACCACAGGTTATTTAGCCATTCCCCAAAAGAAGGGCTCTGTCATTTTAGCCAATCTGATAGGTGTAAGATGATATCTCAGTTATTTTAATTTGCATTTCTCTAATCAATCATGATTCAGAGCATTTTCTCATATAATTATATATAATCTTCATTTCTTCACTTAAAAGCCACCTGTTCATATCCTTTGGCTATTCATGAATTGGGGTATAACTTGTATTCTAATAAATTTGACAAATTTCTCCATATATTTGAGAAGTGAGACCCCTACCTGAGAGATTGTGTATGAAAGTTTCCCCCCCACAATTTTCTGCTTTCCTTCTAATCTTGGCTTGGTTTTACTCATACAAGAGCTTCTTAACTTAAAATATTTGAAATCACCTGTTTTATACCTCAACATTGCTCTCTATCTCTTGTTTCTTCGCATATTATTTTCCTATCCATGAGTCTGATAGGAAATATGTTTCATGTTATAATTTTCTTGTGATAGCTCCCTTTATATCTAGGTCATATATCCATTTTGACCTTATCTTTGTACATAGTTTAAGATATTGGCCCAATCCTGCCAGACTGCTTTCTACCTTTCCCAATAATTTTTACCCAATAATGAATTCTTCTCCCCAAACCTTAAATCTTTACATTTGTCAAACACAAAGTTATATAATACTTTACTACTGTGTATTATATATCTACTCTGTTCCACTAATCCACTTCTCCATTTCTTTTTCAGTCCCAGATAATTCTGCTATCCACTTCTATTTTATGGGTAAATTCATCCACATTCACATTCTAAGTTATAATTACTTGCGTATTTCCCTCCATCCCATTTTTCCTCCCTATCCTTCTCTCTCCATTTACCCTATCCTTCCTCACTCATCTAATTTACTTCTACCCACTACCTTGCCCTCCTATTCCTTAATTTATCCACCCCTTTAAGAGTCCCCTCTAATTCCTCTTCCGGAATCTTCCTCCTTAATCTACCTATCTTTCTAAGAGTTTCTCCCTTCTCCCTTCCCCCTCCTAATTCTTAATCTACACACCCTTCTAAAAGTCCTTCCCTTATCCTATCCCCTTGCCTTCTTATTTCTTTCTAAATTTAGAAGGCTTTTATACCTCTCTAGATGTATAAGCTGTTCTCTTTTTAGCCCATTTCTGATGAGGTTTCAGCACTACCAGCCCTCCCCACCACTTACTTCTGTATCAATTCTCCCTTTCATGACTCATTTGTATGAGATAATTACTCTTTTTTATCTCCCCTACAATTTTATTTTTTAGAATCACCCCATCATACACACCACAGCCCAAGCCTTTCTTTCAAACTACCCAAATACTGATGACAGTCATAAGAGTATTGATGACATTTTCACATATAAGTAAACAGTTTGACCTTATTGAATCCCTTATAATTGGTCTTTAATATTTACTTTATATATCTCCTGGATCTTATATGTTGAATTTTCCATTAAGCTCTGCTCTTTTTGTCACAAACACCTGAAAGTCTTTCAATTCATTAAATGCCCTTTTTTTTTCCCATTCAGGATTATGCTTAACTTCACTGGGTAACTTATCCTTGGTCATAATCCCAAATCTTTTGTTCTTTTTAACATAGTGTTCCAGGACCTATTGTCCTTCAACACAGAAACTATTAGGTCTTGTGTAATCCTGATTGTAGCTCCACAATATTTAAATCTTTTTTTTTCTTGTTGTTTGCAGTATTTTCTCTTTAAACTGGGAGCTTTGAAACTTGACTATGATATTCCTGCAAGTTTTCCTCCTGGGATATCTTTCACGTGGTGATTGGTGGATTTTTTTCCTATTTCTGCTTTATCTTGTTCTAGAATTTTAGGGCAATTTTCCTTAATCATTTCTTGTAATATTTTATCAAGATTCTTTTTTTAACCTTCAGGAAGTCCTACAATTCACTTGTTTCTCTTTGATCTGTTCTCTAGATCAGTTGTTTTTCTATTGAGATATTTCACATTCTCTTCTATTTTCTCATTCTTTTGGTTTTATTTTATTATTTCTTCTTGTCTTGTAATGTCATTAGTTTCCCCTTGCCCAATTCTATTTTTTAAAGAGTTATTTTCATCCTTAAGTTTTTGATTATTTCTGGTTGGTTGACTTACTTTTCATAATTTTCTTGGATTGCTCTTATTTTTTTTTCTATTTTTTTCCTTGATCTCTCTTATGTGATTTTTAAAGCGCCTTTTAAGTTCTTCCAAGAATTTTTTTTGTGCTTGGGACCATTTGATGTTTCTCATTGAAAAAGGAGTGACTTTTTTTTTTAGCTCCACTATCTTCCTGTGAACATGAACCCAGATTTTTTCTATCCCCATAGTAGCTATCTATGGTTGGGTTCTTTCTCTTTTGCTTAATCATTTTTATTTTCATTTTGTTTTATTTTATTTTAGCAGCTTTTTATTATAATCAGGTTCTAGTCTCGAGGTGTAGGGAATGATGGCCCAGGCCTCAGTTCCTTCTTACTGTTATTTTCTGAGATCTGTCCTGGGGCCTAGCTGTGGGCACTCCTCTCCATCCCTAAGCCACAGCTAGGATCCCTAGCCATGCTATCCAGAAAATGATCTTACTCCCTGTACTTACTCCTTTTGGTGTCTGCAAACTTCAACTGTCCTTTCTGCCCTGGAACTGTAACCAGGGACTCTGCTCTCTAGCAAGTGCCCACACACAGCAGGGTCCTAGCCCCTCTGCTACTGCACTTATCAGGTGTGTGCTAGCCTTTTCTCCTCAGCAGCCATAGCCTGGGACTATATCTGGTTAGCACAGCTGTGCTTGGCATCCTTTGACAATGGAAGGTCCTGCAGTCTTCTCCTATTCAACCATCAGACCCCCACATTGTTCATGAGGTGAAAGTTCCTGTGGTCGAGTCTGCTTCCCAAACCAGCTGCCCCCAGGGTTTACTGTTTGTTGATTCTGCAGAGTAGGCCTGGAGTCCTGCACTTCACTCCACCCTTGGAGATTGAGTCTTTCCTGGGGTTCTCTTAAGTTGTCTTAGGACAGGCCTGCAGAACCTTTGACCTACTAAAAGATTTCCTCTCCATACAAAGGATATTTTTCCTCTACATTTTTCAAGGGCCACTCAAAATCCTTTGGTGTGCTGCAAGCAGCCTGAAGGCTGTAAGTGGCCTGTAGGCCACAGTTTGTGTAGACCTGTCTTAGGAGGACAACTGCTTTACCCCAACTTTTATTTATTTCTGCTGCTCTATGTTCACTCTGAGGTGACGGTCTGTCTTTTTTTGTGGAGGAAATTTGGAGATTGTGAAGTTGTCTGACCTACTCCACCATCTTCCCAGAATCCTTTGTTAGCTAGTTGATTTTTGGTTGTAATCTAAGCTCCTTTGCCTTACAGAATATCATATTTCAAGCCCTCCAATCCTTTACTGTAGGAGCTGTTAAGTCTTGTATAATCCTGACTGTGGCTCCTTGATATTTGACTTATTTCTTTCTGGTTGCTTGCAGTTTTTTCTCCTTGACCTGATAGTTTTGGAATTTGAATATAATATTCCTTGGAGTTTTCATTCTGGGATCTCTTTCAGGATGTGATCAGTGTATTCTTTAAATGACTATTTTACTCTCTGGTTCCAGGGTATCAGGACAATTTTCCTTTATAATTTCTTGAAAGATGCTGTCCAGGCTCTTTTTTGATCACGGCTTTCAGGGTAGTCCAATAATTCTTTTCTTTTCTTTTTTTCTTTTTCTTTTTGAGTTCTTTTGCCCCAGTAGGAGGGAACATCTTTACTGGTACAAAACAGGAAATAGACTCATGAAAATCAATCCATCTGGCTATGTCCATAGGAAGGGCAATCTGCCCATGGCTAGTTCAGTCATATCCTTGGGCAAGAAGGAGGTTGTTCATTGTTTTTGGCCAGGTCTGGGCCACTGTCTACCAAAGCCTCTTTCCCTTGGTCGGTTATAGGGGCCATTAGGCACATGGCGCTGGAAACGTGGCATCATCACATTGTGGCGCAGTCCATAGTGAGGAAGAGATTGGGCAAGAGGCCGGGGAGCAGGTGGGGAGTCCAACATAGCAGGAGGAGGTAAGGGATCACTGAAGGCCATATAGTTGAGGGGGAAATAGCCAGGCAGGACAGGATTATCTGAGAAGAAGCAGCTGTCTTGAGGCAGGACTTGAGGTGAAGGGTGGGGTAAGGGTAGGGGTGGAGGTTGGGATGGAGGCAGGAACTGGGGCTGGAGCTTCCTATCTGGCCGGGTCGGAGGACGATCAGTTTCTTGGCCTACTGGATCAAAGGAATGAGACCTCTTAGTCCTCTGAGATGAACATCTCCAGGATGCAGACTCCTCAGTCCTTTGTACTGGCTGCTCTAAGGGGGACCATTCCAGGGGTACAAATGATGACTGATTCCTAAAATAAGGTTCCTCAGCTGCCTGGGCTAGATGTCTCCAGGGTGCCAAAGGCCCCTCAGATGGCTGGCCTGGATGCCTCCAGGATGAAGGCCCCTTGGACCTTTGGCCTTGATATTCTAGGGATGACTGCTCCTGACTCCACTTCCTAAGAGGGGGGCCCCGTCGGGGAGCCTCCACCCCCCAGGCTTCAGCCACATGGGCCAGCAATAGCTGTGAGAGGTGGCGGTGGGCATGTTGGTCCCAATGGATGCCATCCAAACGCCGATGCTGAACTGCATGTCGGAAGTGGAAATGCAGGTCGAGCACATCGAAGCGGTGCTCATCTGCCAGCATTGAGCAGTAGAAGTTTGCTTCCAACACATCTGCACGTAGAGAGCCCGTTGCTGGCTGGAGCTCGGGCAGCAGAAAGCCTCCTGTAATGCGCTCACCCAGTGGCATAGCCAGGGTCCATACCAGAAGGCAGGAGGCGGGCAGCACTTGTTCCATCCTTTCGAATAAACATTCCAAGTTTTCCTGGTAACTTCTAATGGCATCACCACCATACCTGGAGAGGTCCCAGAGGCAGGAGTTTATGATGACCAGGTCAGGAGGTGGTCCATGCTCTAACTCAGCTAGGACATCTTCCACATAAGCTGAGTAGACTCGGGTGAGAAAATAGAATCGTAGGAGGTGGTGTCCTGAACTAGACAGAAATTGGCGGACCTCCCGATAATGAGTCCCATTGTGTAGCTCACCTAGCTGTCCCCCTGCCAGCAGGCGGTCCTGCTCAAAGCTCAGCTCCCCCTTGGCCTTGAGCTGGGCTTCTGTTAGTAGGGAGTCTTTCTGCAACAGAAGTACCAGGTCCTTGTACACAGCCCTCTGGATAGAGTCTCCCAGGACAACCACAAACTTGTTGTGCAGCAGCTGCCGGACCTCTGATGACAAGAAATGAACCATGGTGCCTGAGGGTTACAGATAACCAGGCTAGTAGGGACTGGAGACACTTGGCTGAACTCAGCTGGTTTGAAGGAGGTGAGGGAGTGGCCGAGCAGGCTCTTCAGATCAACTTGGAGCTCCAGCTTCTCTCAGTCTGCAGCCCTCAGAAGAGTTGTCCTCCACGTGCTTGGGATGCTCCAGCTCACTGCTCACCACTATTTATCTAGCATCAGAGCGAAAGAGAGGAGATATCCGGGAGGGCCGCCTGGAGGTGGAGGAGATGGAGGAAGCTGTGAGTGAAGGGAGCAGAAGGGGAGGGAAAGCAGGAAGGGGAAAGAAAAGGGAGAGGAGGGAAGAGGGGAGGCGAGGATGGGACAGCCTAGAAAAAAGCAGTCCAATAATTCTTAAATTATCTCTCCTGGATCTATTTTCCAGGTCAGTTGTTTTTTCAATGAAATATTTTATATTTTGTTCTATTTTGTCATTCTTTTGATTTTGTTTGATGTCTCATAGCTTCCACTTGTCCAGTCCTAATTTTTAAGGAATTATTTTCTTCAATTAGCTTTTGTACCTCCTTTTCCATTTGGCCAATTCTACTTTTTAAGGAGTTTTCTTTTTCCAAGCTGTTGACTCTTTTTTCATGATTCTCTTGCATCGCTCTCATTTCTTTTCCCAATTTTTCTTCTACCTCTCTTATCTGATTTTTAAAATCCTTTTTGAGCTCCTCCAAGAGGACTTTTTGGGCTTGAGACCAATCCATATTCCTCTCTGAGGCTTCACATTTAGGTGTTTTGCCATTGTTATCCTCTTCTGAGTTTGTGTTTTGATCTTCCCTACCATCATAGCTTTCTATGGTCAGGGCTTTTTTGCTCATTTTTCAGCCTATTTTATGACAAAGTTAAGCTCTGCTCTTGTGGTACAGGGGGCATTGTCCCAAGCTTCTTGCTCTGGGGGCTAGGGGTCTGGTCACTGGCTTTCTGTGCTGGGGCTTCTGGGACTGGCAGCTTGCCCACTGTGCTAGGGTGGCCTGGCCTAGTCATACCTGTTGTGCTGGGGGGTTCCAGGGCTGGCAGTTTGCCTGCTGCACTGGGGCTGGAGGCCTCACAGCTGGCCTGCTGTGCTACTGGCCTGATAAGCTAGAACCAGGGGGCCTAGGTTGTTGATCTACACTGTGGCTAAGAACCTCCCGCTGGCTTAACTGGACACCACCTGCACTGGGCTGTGCTCTCCTTTTACACAAGTGCTCCCCTTTTTCCTGCAGTCCTTCTAAGTTACCTTGGGCTGGAAAACAGTTTCACCCAATCTTTTTGTGGATTCTGTCACTCCAGAATTCATTTAGAGGCTTGATTTAAAGTTGTTTTGAGGGAAACTGGGAAGAGCTTAAGCAAATTCCTTGGCTCTGCCTCCCTAGATCAATCGTCTTTCCACCGTTGATGTCATCCTTTCAAATGTTACCCTCCTATTTATGTGTCCCTTGTCCCCTTCCTCTCCAAGTGCCTACTCTTGATTCTATTTCTGCCTTTTCTCTGTGTGCCACCTCCTTCTCTGAGTCCTTCTCCTTTCCGTGACCCTTCTTTTCTCACTGTGCCCTTTATCCGTCAGTAAATCCTTCTGTTCTCTGTGTCCTCTCTTCTCTGAGTTCTTTTTGTGTGTCCCCTTTCCTCACTCTGTCTCCTCCCTTGTCTACATTCCATTCATCTCTGTGTGCCATTTTCCTCCCTTTGCCCCTTAATTCTCTATTTCCTTCTCATCTTTCTGCACCCATGTCCCTCTATACGCATCCTTCTCTGACTATAATTTCCTTCTCTATGCACTGGATCCAGTTTGTACTTCCTTGTCTTTCCCAGTATCTTTTTTCTCTGTATGTCCACTACTGTCTATGTATCTCACTCTATTCTCTATGAGTCTTGTCAAAAATAAAATGAATTCTGTACTCTGGATTGCAAGGACAAGTCTGCTAGAAACCATTTTTATTATTTTATCATTGTCCTAATCTAAACCTTGTTCTGCTCAGAGAGAAAAATGTACCAACTGAAATAGTCATGTGTCCATTCCCTACCCCTATCCTCCACATATCTCCAACACAAGACACTTTGAAGTAACATTTATGGGAATATTGAAGGAGATTTCACAGTATAACAAAACATATTGGTAGGTGTTTTGACTCCAAACCTGGTGGGCCTTCCAATAGGCCACACTGCTTCTATAATTCAATTGAATTTATATTTTTTGCATTCCTGTTATATTTTATTCTAGGTGTTGGGAATATTCTTCCTATGAAATCATATTCTTTATAGATATGACACATAATTATACATTTCAGGATAAGGTACAAATCAGTGATTTATTTCATCCCAGAGAACAGTAGCCACTTAATCTTGGAGAATAATTTTACTTCTAGTCCCTTCAAGGTATGAGGAAAAAAGCTATTATTCAGGTGGACCAATAAAGGGCCCTTGCTCTTGTCTGGTCACTGCCCTAATTACTTCAAAGGAGGATTCCTTCCTGTACTGTTGGAAGAAGGGAAGAGGACAAAGTAAGACTGATAAGAGCTTCTTTTCCTGATTAATCAATTAAAACTCAGACTCTGAACCTCAGAGTAACAGGAAAATATAAAAGGACATAACATTTCTTGGCTACAAAAAAAATTATCGACAAAAAGTAGAAATTTCATGCAGGCCTTCATCCAATATGACTACTATTGATATTACAGTTATTGACACTGAATGGGGAGTATATTGTCTTAAAAATGTGATATATGCATAGGATCTTAAAGGGACATCATTTGTGCTTTTAAATAATAAAATAATAAGCAACAATAATAAAATAATATAATAATATAATGATAAAAATAAATAATAAAATAATTTAAAAATTTTAAAGTGAATATTAAAAGAAACAACAACCCTGGAACACCAGTGAAGAGCATGGTTTTAGAACACAGATTTTCAAGGCTGGGAGGGTCCTTAGTATACAGGATGTATGAAATGTAAATTAATTTTCATGGGAGAAAATATTGGAGAGAGGATAGAGCTTAGAATAAGATTGTCAGATTGGGAAGTGTTGTTTGGGCTCAGAACGTCAGAATTTGGAGAGATAACATCAAACCCGGGAGTGTACTAAGAACATAGAAAGTCTGAGCTTGTTGGAAATTTAGAATTAAGAAGGTCTGTGCTGGATGGAATCCTCATACCTGGAATAAGAGGGATGACAAGGACCATAAAACATGGAAAATGGTAGAAAGTCAGAGCCTAATACAAAGGGGGAAACTTACAAGTTGTCAGAGCCAGTGGGACTTGAGAACACAGAAAGTCAGATAATCACAATAGAGAAGAGAATGTCAGAACTAGGAATGGTTTTAATACCAAAGAATGTTAGAGCTGGGAGGATTCTTAGAACACAGATGTTCAGAGCTTAGAGGAGCTTGAGAACACATCAAATCATAGGTAGGAAAGAGTTTTCTTTATGTGATTAGTGGGTCAAAGTAGTGATATGGTTAGGTTAATTTACAAAACAATAGGAAAATATAATTTTGGCATGAGATGCAGCTTTTATTTCAATATAGTTTCTATTAGCACAGAGGTAATGTTCTGAATGAAAACTTACATCCTAAGCCTTCCAGGAAACGGGTGAAGATGAAAATGCTGAGCCCACTTTAAATTACAAAAATAACAACACATGTAATTTAAGATGTAATGTCTTCATTGGATCAGACCACTAATGACTACTATTACTGAAAATGAATAGGGAGGATATTTTGAAAAATATAAGGTGCTAAATACCCAGGACTTAAAAGGGAAACTATTTGTGATTTTCTATCACTGGAATTTTAAGACACATAATAATATGAAAAGAAAAAAGAAAACCTGGCTGGTCAGAGCAGGGTGCATCCTTAGAACATAGAATGTCTGACTGCTGATGTCCCTCCAGGTTTGTAATTGTGGGAAAACATAAACTCATTTTGCAGATGGGGAAAACTCTGGCTCAGATAGACTCATAGCATCATAGAGTTAGAAGAAGAAAGGACCACTAAGATCATTACGTCTAACCTTCCCATTTAATTGAAGAGGAACTTGCAACCCAAGTTGGGGCAGGAATTTGTTCAAGGTCACACAGGTGGTATGTGTCAAAAACAGGATTTGAACTTGAATCTTCTTGAGCATTTCCACTCCCCAAAAGATCTGTACAGGGTTCAATGTAAACTCCTTGTATATCCCAAACTCGAGCCTGAGAGTAGGCCCTCAGTAGTATCACCTAGCCCTCCACCTAGTGGAGAAGAAGGGAGGCTGCAAGAGCAGGCAGAAGGACAGAAGGAAGAAGACCCTTAGCCTTCAATGAAAGCAGGTTCTCACTGGGGTGAGGTCTTCCCTTCCAACAGTGCAGATCCTATCCCATCTATGCCCCTCATCCTGAGTGAGTCTTGTCAGTGTCCTGCCCTCAGTCTTCCTGTTCTGAGTGGTATTAGCTCAGAGAACAGTGGGCAGAGGATGTCACTTACTGATGGCTGCTATGGTCCTCACTGCACACCAGTGATGGTGCTCTAACTACATGTAAGATGAAAGTCACTGGGACAAATGAAGATAAAGTCAGGGAATGTGAAGAGGAGAAGGAGCACATAGAGTAGGGAAGGGCAGTGAGAAGACAGACATTTTGATGAAAGAGAGGGCCATGGAGACAGGTGAAACACACTAAGAGACAAATGGGGGCTTGTAGAGATGGAAGGGACACAGATAGTAGGGACACATAAAAGAGGGGCACGTGGTAAGGGGAGAGACACACAGAAAGGGAAGGGGACCCTTTCAGAAGAGAGGGGAGAGAGAGAAAGGAGAGGGAACATACAAAGGAAGACCTTAAGACTGTTAAGAAGATGGACACAGGAAAGGGAGGGCCATGGAGACACATGAAACACATGAGAGAGAAGAGTAGGAATATAGAGAGAGGAAGAACACTGACAACAGGGACAAATCAAAGAAGTTGTTGTTCAGTTGTTCAGTGGTGTCTGACTCTTTGTGACCCTATGAAGCATAACACACCAGACCCTTCTGTCCTCCACTATCTCTCAAAATCTGTCCAAGCTCATGTTCATTGTTTCCATGACACTCTATCTCATCCTCTGCTGTCCCCTTCTCCTTTAGCCTTTAATCTTTTCCAACACCAGGGTCTATTCCAATGAGTCTCATCTTCTCATTATGTGGCCAAAGTATTGAAGCTTCAGCTTTAGTATTTGTCCATCCAATGAATAATATGAATTAAAATTAAAATTATTGAAGCTTTT